CTCTCTCATTTTGCTCTCTCATATATGCCTCTATTTATAGGCATTCATGGAGGCTCTTCTTGGTTTATTGTCAACATTGGTGGTTACCAACTCTAGCTCATTCAACAATGGTGGCCACCAACTTTAGCTCATTCAACAATGGTGGCTACCAATAGTCAATGGTTGGTGCCATCCATTTGTTGTACATGAAATGGCAATCAACCTAACAGAAGTCACTTACCTTGAGCGACAATGATGTGCGCCGGCTGGTATTACGTATTCTAATTTAAAAAATAATATAAATTATATTTTTAAAGTTTATAATTTAAATTTATTAATTAAAATGATTCTTTACTATAATATTATAATTTTAATAATCAAATAATTATGTGTTTGAATATTATTATTTTTATTTTAATTAATAAAATTAAGCAAATAATTTTTACTTAAAAAATATTAAAAAATAATATAAATTATATCTCATAACTAATTAAACTTTATGATTATTTGAATTAACCTTCACTTCCCTTAAACTTTTGATTTTCAGCATTTCCCCATTTCCTCCATAACTTACATGAAAAATATTTAATATTTTGATAAGGCAGCAACCAGTCTTAGCTTCGAGGAATAACCAGCTTATTCCAGAATTTCTAATGGAGAAGGTCTGTACTCTTATTTCTTTTGAAACTTTTGATTTTCAGAATTTTCCAATTTCTTCCACTACTTCCATGAAAAATATTTAATGTTTTGATAATGCAGTTGCCTGAGTTAGTTTCGGGGAATAACCAGACTATTCCATAGTTTCTAACGGAGAAGGTCTATGCTCCTATTCTTTTGAAAAACTTTTGATTTTCAGAATTTTCTAATCTTCACCACGACTTCCATGAAAAATATTTGATGTTTTGATGATGCATGCAGCTACCAGAGTTACGTTTGTGAAATGACCACTCTCTTCAAGAATTAATAGCGAATACGATTTTAATGGAGAAGGTCTATACTTTATTTCTTTTGAGACTTTTGATTTTAAGAATTTTCCACTTCCCACCACAGCTTCCATGAAAAATATTTAATGCTTTGATAATGCAGTTACCTTACTTAGCTTCGTGGAACACGCAGCCTCTTCCAGATCGTTACAAGCAAATGGTATGTTGTCACAAAGTTCTAATAACATGTAAAAGCATGAAAGCTGAAAGCAAATTATATATATCTAAACACGTGGAATTCCTTTTCGTCTGTCTTCTTTTTAAAATAATTCTTCGAATGTTGATATCACAACCTGTATATGGATATTGGCCAACTTTGCAGATAATCGTCTAGAAAACCTTGCTACATCTGTCTTCAGCCAAGACGACTCCAAGATAGACTTACTTTCGATGAATGATAATGATGAGAACCAGGTGATATATACTGAGTCAAATCTTGTCTAACTTCTTTTAATCTATATATAATAGTACATGGGATAATCTTATATTATGAGTTTCTACCAGTCATAATTGTATTGTTTTGTGTATTATCAATTATCTCACATTATGTCATTGTGAATTAATTGTACAGGATGCAGTCTATACTGTAGAGGCAGAACAGCTGCTGGATGCTGGAGAAAGTTCACGTCCTAGAGTAAGAACTATGGAAACAACGCTTTTGAGAATTGGCGAGATTTTCTTAACTGCCTTGTTTACAACTAACTACTTTCTTGTATAGGAAATATCAGGATGGACTTTGCTGATGACAAACTTAAGCCTAGAGATTGCATCAGCGGTTTTTGACCAGATGGGTTATGCACAAATTGGCACGGTGTTGGCATTTGTAGCTTCGCTTCTTGCTGCCGTTGAACTCATTCACATGGCTCGAAAGGAAAGAATTAAACGGGCGGTCATGAGCTCATTGCCACCTTTTCATCTCCGATCAACTTGTACTTCCGCAACTAGAAAGCCTGTTGGCACTATTGTTGAGTATTTTGGATAATTGGCTGGTGCTGTCTGGCAATGTGTTTGTTCAACTGTGGAGTATACGTATACTCGTAAGGAGAAAGATAATCCAATTAAGATGTGTCTTCTGCCTTTCATTTTCTTATTATGCGTGGTGATTTCCAAACTATTAGTCGACAAGAGTTCCGTTGAGGAGAGTTCTTAGCAATGGTATTTTCTTTGAACTAGAAGAAATTGCTAGTATTGTGTTTCAAGGACTCTTTTTAGTGGGAATGTGTCAAAGCATTTGATTCCTAGATTTTCTTATCGAAGACCTACACTTCTAATGCAATTAAGACACTATTTTTGACACAGTGAGCATGAGTAGATTTTGAACTGAAAATGTGCATGCAAGTTGCTACAAGGTTGCGTTTGGTTGGTGTTTAAGGATAGAAACTGGAAATATTGACGTCTTCCAATAACCGAGGAAACGCATGCCTGCTCATTCCGCTGTAGAAACTGGAAATGTTGAACACATCTTACAGCTTCAGAAAACTATTCTCAGGCAGTAGGTTAGGTTGGAATAGAAGTAATAAAACGAGCTAGCTACCTCCAAAATAACAGAAAATTTACATCTACATAATATCTATTTTCCAGCTATAAAATTTCCATGCATATACTAAATCGCATCAATAATATGCTGTTTTTGGGACCTAAAAGTTTTGGAAAATCTATATTTTGAAAAGGAAGAGGGTGCCTCATCTTATATGAGACTCCTTCTTTTTTTTTCAATCAAATTTAAAAACCATAGCAATTACACCTATAGATTAATTTTATAATCTGACCTAAAATCGGATTTCTTGACAAATCAAATTGAGAGTTCACCGACGGACTATCTTCAAGGATTTTTTTTCATTATTTATTTTTTTCTTAAAAGGCAAGACTTGTAAATATTTCAAACATGGCAAAAAATTAACCAAAGCGTTTGTAGTCCAACGGTTAGGATAATTGCCTTCCAAGCAATAGACCCGGGTTCGACTCCCGGCAAACGCATTTTACTTGGCTGCCATAAGGATGCCGGTGGATAGTGGCATGATATCCTATCCTTTTTTAGGTGAGAAAAACTCACTTTACTTGGCGTCACTCATTTTCATCGAAACCCAGTTTCATAGGCTTAGCCAATACTACATCCAAGAAACCCCAGTGTTCCAGCCGGGAGTTCTTTTGGAGTCAACACCGAGGGGGTATCGCCTGAGCCTGAAGTCCTCCTAATAGACAAGGAAGGGCTTTTACTCAACAAGGGGGATGGATCAACGCCAGATAATTCAGAAACGAGCCAGCAGAATGGGACTCCAAAATCACAGGTCTCCTGTGCAAATTGAGTCAGTACCACTTGCGTCTATGAAGCATAAGAGTATTCCAGCATTAGGATCGCTCAGACATGAGCTATAGACATTAATCGTATGTAGTTTAACCTTGAACAAAGACTGAGATCTTCTGATATATGTAAGGAACTTTTCTTGTGAAGTTTCTGCACAAACTTTCAGTTCCGTGGCTGGCAAAAGAAGTCTAAATTTTCGCATAGCCCTGAAAATCTTAAACGGAAACTCATTAGTTCTATGAACTAGGAGTCCATAGCCAAGCTCAGCAATCATGAACACAGCTTAATTTAATTTTATGTTAATAAACACGGAAGGGATTGTACAAGGCATCATTACAAAAACGTCTTCCATTAGCAATTTGCTTCAATTCCATGTCCATGCAATTTGACTATGTAACGGTAATTAGTGAGATACAGAGTTTGGTTTGTAGTACAAAAGTTACCACATATGCTCTTTGATGATCCAAATGGTTTCTTTGAGTCCACAGGTTCAAGAAAACTTAAAAAAAATCTGTCGAGAGTTTGCATTTAAGAAGATAACAAAGAAAACCCATTAATGTCAGGAAGCAACATAATCACATATCATAAGAATGAACTGCTAAATAACTATGCAAGGCTATGCATGTATTTATGTAAGTTAACAAACTTTTTACCTTGGAAATCTGTTCTTTGGTAATTTTTGATGGGTGCCAAAGTGAAACATTATTCTAGTAGTATGAGTTTCTGGGATTACTGGATGGTGTTTCCATTGATTCTTTGGGAAGATATCATTGTGATTTGTAGCAAATGTTACCTGCTTTAGAGAAATAGACTCCATTGCCATAGCTGCAAAGGAGGGGAGGAGGGAGGAGATATTTCATATTTGCAAAAGCTTGCCTGTTTTCAATACGACCAGACGTTTCTGATGCAGGCTGGTGTTATGTGGTTTAACAGAAATGAATCCAACTTAAAACCTAATGTATTATAGCTAAGCAAGTGTTGTCATCCTAAAAATAGAGATATTGGCAGCAAAATCTCCATTGTTTTGTTCACTGTTTGTTTGTTTGTTTTTAGGACTTGAATTTAGCATACGTAATTTTAGCCAATGATATCACACCTGCTTACCATTTTTTAGAATTTGAAAAAAATTCACATGCACATTTTTTTTATAAATAAAATTAATAACTTAACCCTACTTCATTTCGACTTTGATACTCTAAAAATTGGTGTAATGGTTCTGAAGAACCCAGTTAGCTATAAGATGTGTCTATTCCAGTTTTATGGTTTATAGAGCTTGGAGGAATTTTAGGGAAAAATATTATTTTTTTAATTATTATTATTATTATTTCCTATTTAGTTTAGGATTATTTTTTTTTCATGATTTTTTTTTCTATTTATTTTAGAAAATCAAACATTAAGATTGCTATTTTTTTCTTTTTAGTTTAGGTATCCCTAAAACAACTCAATAATTATTAATTGAGATTTTTTTCAGCCTAGAATTATTATAAATAAGGTTGCTTACCTTGTGTATTTTAGAATAATATATTATACTTTTATTCTCAAAAATAAAATTATAAATTAGGGTTTTGTATGATAACTATATTCGATTTCAATTTTATTTTTCTAATTTATTGTTTTATTGTCTTCTTGGTTATATTTTTATCTGTATCAATTAATATTAGAATTCAAATATCTTGAAAGTTATTTGCTTGTTGTATGTTGAAATAACCATGACTATAAGAGTTATTAAAATAAAATAAGCTCGTGACAGAGAAAATGTGATACATGTAAAAATAAATTGTAAAATTAACTCATCATTCAGTATAGGTGAGGAGTTCGAGAGATTATGAGTAGAAAAAACAATTTCTAATATAATGTTAAAACTGAATGTTTTGATTATCTAGTTTCTTTGAGGATTGGAATTAACTATCAAAATTTAAAAAAAAAAAATATTAAAAGAGATAATTTAGATATAAAATTCTTGATTTGTGATGTGGATGAGAATTGAACCAAATTAGATATTATTTCAAATGTGATTTTTTTATAAAGCACATTGCAATGATACACCTCACATGTGCTTGAAGGGAGTTGTGGAATTGATGGAGTTAAAATTGGAAACAAATTTTCAAATATTCTTCTAACTCCGTTATTGATTTTATTGTTAGGAAAATTAAATAGTGGTTGTCATAAGGCTGGAGAAAACCATAGCCTTTTTTGTTTTTACTATTGCTTTTCAAATTTTGAAAGAAATTTTATCAACTCTCGTTTCTATCTTATATATTCTGTTTCCATGCCTATATCTCCCTTTTAAAATCCATCTCTCTCGTTTTTCTCTCTTTTTCATAGCCAAAATACTAACGTTGCCTTTTCACTAAAACCCTAATCCTCTCTCCCTCTTTTACTCACACCATGAAGAGCCAAGAAGATTTAGAAACCAACGAGCAAGAGATCTCCACGAAGAGAAAGCACAGCAGCAACAACAGCATTAGCCAGCAAGATTTGGAAGGTGAAGATGAAGAAGATTTTGACCTTACACTTTCTTTATCTTTTCGTCCTCCGAGATCCAATAAGAAAACTACCCTGCAAAACATCATTATCAGTAACTCATCAACCATTAGCCCAGCATCAAGATATCCCTCAAATTGAAATCCCACCGGATGACCAGATGACACCAAGGCCTCTTGGCCCTCTTCAGCTTTCTCGCAGGCACGCCCCATTCGCTCATATTCCTGTGACTGAACCATTGCTGTACACTGCTAACTAGAAGCAAGTATTAGTAACTACAAGTACCCGCATTTTCATCATTTTGACAAAGCTTCCATCATATAATCTCTTCAAAAAAAATCTTTCAATTTACCTTATCATTCTTCATCTGGTTTTAGATAAAATAAATCCATCAGTAGAACATACATAATCAGATTTTAAGGTGGCGGTAACACACTACTATAATGGTTTTCTCCAGTATCTCATTCATATTAATTTGAAAATATCTTTCGCAAAAGAGTTTACAATAATCAGAGTCAAATTACCATTGTTCATACCCCCTTCTTTCTCCTAGTGTCAATTAAAAGAATAAAAAAAATCACACAATTCTAACACATTATTCACCGCTCAAATTCATGAATCACATACTTTTTGAACATTAGCACCTAATCTTGTCACAGCAAATATCAACTCTTTTATTTGCATGCGCAATACATGAAAAATAATAATAATAATAATAATAATAAGTTACTCCAATGAGTCTTGTAAATTTTAGAATCGATGAATACTTATAAAATTATTAAATTTAAAATTTATAGAATTAGTTGAAATACATGCAAGCGAGTCTAAATATCCATATTAAAAAAAAAAAAAAAACAAACTTGAACAGGCTCTTAGCCACAATAAATTGGAAGGGTTAATTTTAATTTTTTTTAAATAAAAATCAAAATAAAATCATTTTACCATATTTTTTTATAAAAAAATTAATAAATTGATAATTAGATTTTAACCAGATCAAAATTTGATCAACCAGGTCAATAAATCAACCCTTAGGTTTTTTTATCGAGTTAGCAAAGTTTCATACTTTTTTTTCCTTCAATCCAGACCGGTTCATACCTTCCATATTGCTGGTCAAGTTGTTGAGCATATGCAAGTTGTAATACAATGATTACAGGCAAGGTTTATAGTACACTTGATAATCTTGCATTTTTCAAGTTCTAAAAAAAGTGGG